AACATGATTTCAAAGAAAAGAGAGTGTTTCTCACAACAGAAGTAATTAAAATCAGTGGTATTTCTAATAGGAACACAAAGACTATTAAATAGCTGTGCAGTGCCATCTTGAAAGCTAGCATTCTCTGGTGGAGTAACTAATCATTTTATAGCATTAGAAGGCAACAGATGTGTATGGACAACCTCATTAATCTTGAGATAAGATGGCCAGGCTTCAGAATATTAAGTTTAAGTAAATGAAAATCTCTCCTTTCCTTCACTGGAAGCCAACCTATTTTTCAAACATCATTTATGTCTCTAACATAACATCCAGTGACATAACTAGCTGCAGCAAATTGTAAGTGTTGAAGTCTCTTAAAAAGAAAATCAGGAAGTGTATAAAAAACAAAGTGTATATGGTGATATAATGAGACACCAGGTATTATTACCAGCCAGGGAGGAGGGGAGGGAGCATTAACTGTATTGGCCTGACAGGGCTATACACTCTTCACCCTGGGATGCAAGATACACTGTACTAAAACTTGTTAATAACGGCTTTTAATATTAAATGACAATATTTTATAACATAACGAGAGAAATCAACTTTTTTTCAGTTTACCTTGAAACTTACTACCAGTTCTCTTGGAGAGGTAACAGTTTCCACAAGGTGAAGTCGGTCCATAACCCAGCGTGCTGATGTGACAATCTTACGAACCTCAGCTTCATCATAAACAAGCAAGACCTAGAGAGTGATGCAAGACAAAACATTAAGGCAAGTTTAAGGGTTACACTGTAGTAATTCCTGTTAACATAACATGAAGTTAAATACATATTTATTTAACAGAGTTAACAACAAGGAGCGCGAGCGTGGTCAGCGGTCAGTTGTTTGGCTCAAGCGCGGTCAGCCTTGCTTGCATCGTCTCCATGTGCTCAGTACAGTGTTTTTGTGGCGGCCATTCTCTTCGTTTAGCCTTTGGATCATTCTTTTACCCCCATCCCTCCCCTCCCTTAATTCTTCCACTGTTAAATCAGTGTGACGGGTGCCTTGTTCCATTGGCATGGGGGCTCATGGCTGGAGGGTGCGGGTTTGCCAGCCATGGGGGCGTAACTCTTTCTAGGGGCTGGCTGTGCCAAAGGTGGAAGCCCCTGGACATCCCGGGCACCCACCTCCACTCAGCGACGCAGTTGTTAATACCTCATTTTCAACGCTTTTTTGAATACAACTGCCCTGTTGAATAAAAAAACTCATCTGCTATCTTTTCGAAGACCAGTAACTTTTACAGTAAGAGGTTTTATTAACATTAGTTTAGGGTACATGTAAATATCATACCTTCATAGTTCCTTCCAGAATGTTCCTTGCTGAGTCCACCAAATTGTATCTGACTTTATTTGAGAATGGGTACTGCTTGAGCTGATGAGTCGCCATCAGTAAGCAGTTCCCTGCATCTTTTACTGCATCGCATGCCGACGGCATTGCTGACCTCAAATCCTAGATTTATGGTCAATTATGCCCATTATTAAAACAATATTATTTCTGCAACTCAACCTTTGTAAATACCTTCTTGAGGCAGTTCCAACATTTTCTCGGTACTCAAAAATTAGGTCAAATATAACATTCATACAAATCGTACTTTTTAATAATGCTACCTGGTATTTAGAAGTGTCCTATGGTAACGGATCCAGACCTTGAGATAACAGCGGGCCCGGTCTCCAAAAATGTTTTTGGTTGGTCTAAAAATAAGGTGGGGGGGGGGGACCTGGGCCCCCTTGGCCCCTCTCCTGGATCTGCCACTGTCCAATGGAGACATTTTCGTTGAACCCAGACCTGAATCACTGGAATTTACTATTTAGTTGTAAGCATTCTACATGTAAGTTTACAGCCATCACAAGTATTAAAACCCTACAGACCAAGTGCACATTCATTACACCTGGGTGTTGCTTAATATATGCTCTGATAAGATGATGATCTCAAAAAAAGACTGTATAGATCTGTGTATATTTTCACCCCTTCAAAAAATAGAAAAAAAAGGTCACTGATTATATTGTTAGCACAGTGCAGTTATTTTCCATGTAAAAGGTCTTAAAATGAATCAGTTCACGTGTGTAGAGTACCTACTCTGCCTGCTTCTAATAGCTTTAGCTAATTGTAGGTACATGTAGTGTGTTAATGTTTTAATGTATTTCAGTGCTGTTTAATAAAGTTGTTGTTGTTGTTGTTGTTTGTTGTAGTTGTTGTACATATATACATTATTATACATACATCATCTGGAGTTTCGGTGACTAACTTCTGTCCAGCTAGTACCAGACTCTCAATGGCCTGTCTGATCTGCTGGGCACTGGGTACCAAGTCTGGTAATGGAACACCTTCTCTTTGCGCTGCTTCATTGAGCAAAATCAATTGTGACACCTTCAAGAGGACAAACATACATTACACATATCATCCAAACATTCAAAGGATGCTCAACTCAGTTGAGGTCAGTAAACTTCCACTTTTGAGGCCTGGGCTTGTACATCTTTGCTCCCAGTTTTAGGGGGGCTTAGAAACAGAGGGGCTCATATTGATCCGAGGTGGCTTATAACCTGGAATGGAAAAAGCGATTTGAAGCAAGCTGTAGCAGAGCTGATCAAAATACCCATTTGCATTTACTAGTTTTTAATTTAACTTTAAAACATCGTCATAAAATCAAATCCATTTCAATAGATGGTTTTCACTGTGATGTCATCAAATTGTAAAGTCAAAATAGCAAGGTTTTATGAATTCTTATTTACACCAGGTTGAAGATAAACAAAAAGTAAATCTTTGTACAGCTGTGTACAAGTTTCCATTCCTGTAGCATGTTTCATTTCGAAAATATAGCAATTTCAACTTTCGAGTTTTCACAGTGCGTGACACCAAAATAGGAATGCTGTCTCATTGAAAAAAAAGTCTCTCCTCTTGATTCTCAGCAGTATAACCATTTCAAGTATTACAAAATATGTTTATGCGCACATATGCTAGTTCTCAAGTAAAAAGAAAGAGCTTTTATAGAAAAAGTGAACTCCAGATGTTTTTGTTGATTTCCGGCGGCCATGTGGTGCACCAAAACAGTACAGCAATATGGCGTCTCCATACAAAGCTCTACAAAGGTGTGTGTAATGTTTTGGCAAATAACTCAGAAACTGTGGGCACAAAGCCTTGAGACTGTTTATATATTAGTCTTTTACAACATTTCATTTTCTTGGCTTCTTCCACTGCCGGGACGGTTTCCATTTTATTTTTTTGTTGCGTGACATTGAAAATGATGTATACATTTAGAGTGGGTCTAATATGCGGGGTGGTAGGGGGGGCTTATGATCAGATGTATTTTATTTGTTGTTTACTGGTAGATGAACCTATAACTGGGGTTGGGAGGAACTTATAAGTGGCAGTTTACGGAATGCCATTAAAAATTGAGGTACTGTAGATTATTTGCTTCCAGTATGGGATGCGATCCTGGCGCGGAATGGAGTAAAATGCAAACATATATTCCTTGAAATGTTGCCGCTCTAAATACTGCTTGTCATATCAAAACGATGTTTTGGTATTAAATATTAAAAATTAAGGCAAAATGAAAAGTAGCAGCGTTTGCTGAGAGCTTTAAAGTTACATGAAAACCAGCTGACAACTACGTGCGCGCAGAGCATTTAGTATACAAACTCGCCCTAAAAACGCGGTTGCTGAAAAGCAAGAACGGACCCTGCAATTCAGATTTAGCTAAGTTTGTAGAGAATACTTCATTATGGTTTGGTTACCAAACGTTAGCGTCAGGTGTGCAAATAAATCAGTTCTTTGCTATCTGAACACAAATCTCAGTTGCACGAGAATTAATCAGCAAACCTGAGAGGCGATTGGCGCCAAAACCAGCTCGATGGATTTGGTCTGGACCAACGACGACAACAGCTTAGCAGACATTATTAACAGTGGTATTATCTAGCCGTATCTCCTTCATCAAACAATCAAAGACGCCGTACAAATCCATGGCCACAATGTTTATGTGCTGATTTTGGTAGATGATGTTTTCGAAGGCGAGTGAGGACTGGAACTGGTCGGCTAAACCATCCATTTACCCAACATAAAAGTTCCTCGGGAAAATTATCTGAAACCTGGAAAGGAACTCGAGCAGGACGATACTCTGAAAATAAGTCATCGGTTTAAATAGTTAAAGAATTTTTTTTTGTCGTTTACAAAGTACCAGATAAAGCATCGGAGCAAACTCCATTGCTCCGCAAGACTCTTTGGATGAATATATGTGAATTATTTTCTGAACTGGCCAGCTTATTGCATGCAGGCTCGCTACACGGTGAAATCTGGAAAGGTCACAGAAAGCCACGGAAGAATATGGGTAAGTTGCGCGCAGCCTTTTTGGCCAATTAAAGTTTATTTCTTAACTTGACTTTACTGATTTTACTATCCTAGAATGCTGCAGCAGTTTTTTATTTCACTTTCGTCAAACACATATTAGTCTGTTCAGAAATGCAATGTCGACTGCATCTGATGATCTGAAATAAGCTTAAGTTTGGACCAAGAAAGACGATGAGAAATCTTGTTTCACTTTAGTCTTACTTAACTAAACGATGATTCCAATTTAAATACAATAAACTAACATAGTAGACTTCAGTTTTATGCTCAATGAATTCAGTAGAAATCACAAAATTCTTACTTCATAGTGTGCCTTGCTGGAAATACCTCATGATTTCCTAATGTTTATCACCTTATCCATGGGAGATAGAGCGGTTTTCACTTGACTGTCGTAAAACCAAAACCAAAGTAAATACACTAGCCAACCAAAGGACGTAGTAAAACCAAAACCAAAACCAAAACCAATCCCAATTCGACAGTCAAGTGAAAACCGCTCTAATTTTGACCGTTTTGCATTTATTCCAAGACGCTTGGAGTGTACCCTTAACCCTAAGATTAATGTGTGCTCAGTTTGACTGTCAGTAATTCTACAACATGTACTGTAACAAGTGTGAACAATAATTTTTACTTCGTTTTGTGTTGTAGACTGGAAGAAAAAGAACTTTATCGATCGTTTTGTACAGTCTGTAGTGAGTCATGGACCCTCCCTCATACCTTTGACAAGAGATGAGCATGGTGATGGAGAAGAGTCAGTACTTAACTTTCTTAATCCTAGAAGAGATGGCAACATGGGCATGAATTACTTCAGAAATAAGCTTCAGGTATACATTGCTCTTTTACAAGTGTATAGCAGGGCTTTACTGTAGCAGCATTCAGGTTGTCCCCCATGCTGTACATATGCTATTGAGCCACTAGAAGTAACAGATTTTGTTAAAAAAAAATTATGCTAGGCACCCCAGATTTCACCGGTTTAGAGCACTGTGCTCCCACCAATTTTTCTTAGAACCAGTCTTGGTATAGGAACCTAGTAAGAAGCACTTAAAGCACACGAATTCATGTATTGTGTGAACAAAGAATTATCAATGGTGGACATGCGTGCCTTCTACATCTACATTCATATTCTATTCATAAATAACCTCTCTTTTTGGGAAAAACAATAATTGATGTCTGATGGAGTATAATGAGTAAAAAAGTCATAATCACAGAAGAACAACAACAACAGCAACTTCAACAAGGGATCAGAGTATTTGTTAACCTGGTACTTCCAGATTTTGAGTTTCTGACTTGCTGCCTTACCCTTCTCCTTGTCCTTAGCCTGCAGATGTATTTCCCATCATCACTTCTCTCCACCCAAANATGTACTGTAACAAGTGTGAACAATAATTTTTACTTCATTTTGTGTTGTAGACTGGAAGAAAAAGAACTTTATCGATCGTTTTGTACAGTCTGTAGTGAGTCATGGACCCTCCCTCATACCTTTGACAAGAGATGAGCATGGTGATGGAGAAGAGTCAGTACTTAACTTTCTTAATCCTAGAAGAGATGGCAACATGGGCATGAATTACTTCAGAAATAAGCTTCAGGTATACATTGCTCTTTTACGAGTGTATAGCAGGGCTTTACTGTAGCAGCATTCAGGTTGTCCCCTGTGCTATACATACATTATGTATGCCATTGAGCCACTAGAAGTAACAGATTTTGTTATGAAAATTTTATACTAGGCAAACTGTATCTCACTGGTTTAGAGCACTGTGCTCCCTCCAATTTTTCTTAGAACCTGTCTTGGTACGTTGTATAGGAACCTAGTAAGAAGCATTTAACGCACACTAATTCATAGATTGTGTGAACAAAAAATTATTAATGGTGGACATGCGTGCCTTTTACATCTACATCCATATTCTATTTAAAAAAGTCATAATCACAGAAGAATAACAACAACAACAACAACTTCAACAAGAGGTCAGAGTATTTGTCAACCTGGTAGTTCCAGATTTTGAGTTTTTGACTTGCTGCCTTACCCTTCTCCTTGTCCTTAGCCTGCAGATGTATTTCCCATCATGGCTTCTCTCCACCCAAAAAGTTCTGCGCTCGCAGGCCACCTCATTCTCCTCCTTCTCTTTTTATGTGAAAAATGACTGTTTACATTATGTAATATTAATGTTTGCAGGTGAGCTGCCCAGCAGGTGAAACAAATGAATATTTGGGAGAACTAAGTGAAATGCATCAATCATCTAATGAAGACAGAGAAATCCTTCATCCATTTTATAGACAACAAGCAATACAGTAAGTAGGTGGGGCTGTATAGATTGACTGTATAGAGGAACACCTGTACCTAGGGCAATGCTTTAAACACTGATGGAATGGCTAGGTTCTACATTGTAGGTATTATAGTTGCATTTGGCATTTGAGAATGCTTCCTTATCTGCTGGTTATTCTGTGAATTTATGGGCATCCTGTGTAATCAAGCGTGCTGAGTCAAAAAATCATTGATTGATCAGCTGGTAGGGGAGTACATGTATGTACAGTACATACTGTAGATACAGCTAGGTCGACTATTTTAATATAAAAAGGTTTTTCATAGGGATTGAGATCTGATGTTCATTTATCAGTAATCAAAGCAAAACATGTTCTGTCTGAGATTTTCTGCAGCTATGCATTTGTATCGATTTTTTGCTTAACCCTTTAAGTCCCAATAGTGACCAACATCAATTTTCTCCTAACAATATCCATACAATGTCAAAAGATTAGGTTATGAGAATTAATAAAATGATCACCTAACAGAAAATGCCTTGATCTTTTATCAAATTCTCTCAAGTCATTCTTTAAGGAAATGTATAGAGATCAGTTCGGAGAATTTGTATGTGGATATTGGGGCTTAAAGGGTTAATAACCTCCCTATTTATATACTTAGGTCAGGTGTGCAAGATGATGATTTCAACCAAAGAATAAAAAGATTTGTGGCAACTAAAGCAGACCTGTTGTTTTCCATGGAAGGGAAGCAGAAATTACAAAGAGGAGTTGACTTTGGCTTGCATTCAAACCAGGAAGGTAAGTGTACATGTACATAAATACTGAGGATACGCAGAGCTTGGTCCTCATGTGCTGCCGTTCTACCTGCCACATACATGGCGGTCTTGCCTGGGATACTGTTTGTCATCAACGCCAGGAATAGGAACAGGGTAGGTCTTTACTGCTGGCATGCCTGCAAAGTTGAACTTGGGGCAACTTCCCNTGTTGTTTTCCATGGAAGGGAAGCAGAAATTACAAAGAGGAGTTGACTTTGGCTTGCATTCAAACCAGGAAGGTAAGTGTACATGTACATAAATACTGAGGATACGCAGAGCTTGGTCCTCATGTGCTGCCGTTCTACCTGCCACATACATGGCGGTCTTGCCTGGGATACTGTTTGTCATCAACGCCAGGAATAGGAACAGGGTAGGTCTTTACTGCTGGCATGCCTGCAAAGTTGAACTTGGGGCAACTTCCCGGATACATACATAGTGGTGGCAGAGTGGGATGGCCTCTGTGGCCTGCAACTTCTGTTCTCACATTGGAATGGTATCCCTTGCAGTACTGGCAACTATATCTCAGGCGGGTTGCTGACATATGAAAATTAACAACATGCTAGTTAACTCTGTGACTGAAAGTAAAGGTTGTGATTCTGTTCAGACTTCACTCATTTAACTTCTTTTTCACTTCTCTTTGATCGAGATAATTGGTGATCAGTTCTTTCCTTGGTTTATGCAGGAAATCCTTCCTTAGAATGTCAAAAGTATTCTGAACATGGTTGTAAGAGAAATTATTGCTTAAATTTTAAAAAGATTTGAGAGTAAAAGTATCACTCATCACAAAGTAAATGAACATAATTTGTCCAACAAACATGTACAATTGTTTTGTTACTGGTCAAAATTTAATTTAAGTTACAATTTTTTAACCCAGGTTGATTCTCGATTCCCTTTGTCTTCTAGCCCTAATTATTCATGAATTAGGGCTAGGAGACAAAGGAAATTGAGAATCAATCTAGGTTAAAAAAGTTTAACCTGAATTAAATTGTGGCCTGTGACATATATTAAGGCTGGATTTAGTGGTAAAAAATGACCTAAAGTGGTTAATTGTCAAAGAGAGTAACACAATAAAAAAAGGGTTTGTTTAAGATTCGACAGTTTAGTTGCTTACGGATGTAAAAGTTAAGTAGATAAATTAGTGGGAAGCCTCCTTATCAGTAAAAGGGTTATGACAAAAGAAATCAGAAAAAAATTAATTAGTGTCAGAAATACAATTTTTTGGGATGGGCTTGTAACCAGGTACAGGTACGTATTTAGTGATGGAGGTGAAAGTACCTCTGTTATTATTGACTACAACATGCGATGTTGACTTTATTAAAAGAAAGAACTGTGATATATTTCAGTGTTAGATCCTTATGCGGATACTCCTCCTCTTGAAACCTTAATGGAAATACCTTTGCATTACAGAAGAACACAGTTGTTCAAGGTTAGTTCCAAACCTGCATAATGTACTGATATTTATTTAGGCAATTACACACAATTCGTGCTGTTTTCTGCATCAAGTTCAATGCAGATCCATTCAAAGGTGTACTACACTTGTAGGTGTTCTAGGTAAAATCTGTTTTCAAGTTAAACTATAATTCAATGTTGCTTGATTCAGAGCTCTCTTTGTTTCCTAGCCTAAGCTAATTATTCATAGAGGACAAGTGAATTATTCTGGTTTTTACTACATATACAGCTGTATAAATGAGTGATTTCTTGCATGCTGATTGGTTAAGTTTGATTGGTTGTCGAACCGTTTGGGCTGTTCATGTTAATTTTATCAAGCTTGGTTCCTGAACACAGTCACCCGCTTCTGTATTTCCTATATGGATTGACTATACTTCAGACTTCACTTGAATGATCCCCCGTGGGTTACTGAGCGGTTCAAGAACCTCATTAAGCTCCGTCAACACGCCTTCCACCATGGAGACATGGAACAATACCGGCGATATCGAAATGATGTCAACCGCGCGCGCAAATCACTTCGCAGCAAATACTTTGCAAGCAAAGTGAATAATTTAAAGAACACCAAGCCCTCGCAGTGGTGGAGCGCAGTTAAACGAATCGCCAGTATGAATCCCGCTTCATCATCTGAAAGTCTCCTTTCCAACCTGCAGCTCGGGGATAGCTTCGATCGCCTAAGTGACGCTGAACTAGCTAACGCCATCAACGCTGTGTTCTTAGAACCCACGAAGCATTACCAACCCCTATACGCTGTCCCTACAGAGGCGGAGGACTCCGATGTGCCTTTAATTACGGAATTTGATGTCCTATACGCTCTAACCAATCTAAACCCGCGTAAGGCAGCTGGACCTGACGACATCGGTAACTGGCTTTTGAGGGAATATGCAGAGATCCTCGTACAGCCTATCACATCTATATTGAACGCGAGCTTTAGAGAACAAAGGCTTCCCGCCCCTTGGAAGCTTGCGGATGTGGTGCCTCTCCCAAAGCAAAAACCCGTGGTAGATGCTACTAAGCACCTGCGTCCTATCTCCTTGACGCCCGCTATCTCTAAGGTTGCGGAAGATTTTGTGGTACTCAGATACGTCGGTCCAGCGGTGTTGCAGATTATAGACCCGAACCAATACGGCGGTATTCCAAGATCCTCCACCTTGTACACTTTGATATCCATGGTACATAACTGGTCACAAGCCACTGACGCCACGGGCGCGGCTGTTAGAGTGGTACTTTTCGACTATCGTAAGGCTTTCGATCTTATTGATCACAATCTGTTGGCCAGAAAGATCGAAGCCTTGGACATGCCACGGTGGGTTCGCGTTTGGGTGCTGGATTTTCTGTCAGACAGGAAACAACATGTCAAGCTGCCATCAGACTGCCGGTCAGAGTGGGGCCTAGTCCCCGCCGGGGTGCCACAGGGCACCAAGCTTGGTCCCTGGTTGTTCTTATTAATGATCAACGATCTTGAGGTCGACGCGCTCACTTGGAAGTATGTAGACGACACAACTATCGCCCAAACGATACCGCGAGGTTTGAGTAGTGATGTACAAAGCGCAGTTTCCGCTGTTGAGGCGTGGTCGATTGAAAATAGGATGGAACTGAACGCTGACAAATGCAAGGAGATGCGCATTGACTTTAAAAGGAACGCTCACAATTTTCCACCAATTGTGATAAATGGCAAGGAACTATCAGTATCAAACAGTGTAAAAATCCTGGGAGTCACTATTAGCTCAGATTTAAAATGGAACGAACACATCTCAGAGTGGATTAAGAAAGTGAACAAGCACCTTTATTTTATTGTTCTTCTAAAGCGCGCCAACGTTCCACTGAGCGACATTGTAAATTTTTACTGCACCGTGATAAGACCTGTTTTAGAGTACTGTGCACCAGTTTTCCATCATGCGCTTCCACAGTATCTTAGTGACGACATCGAACGAGTGCAAAAGAGAGCGCTCTCCATCATTTGTCCTTATGCGTCATATTCAGAATGTTTGGTCAGGTTCGATTTAGTAACCTTGCACGCTAGACGCGTGGCCCTGTGTAGCAAGCTTTTTGAGTCTATCACGTCATGCCCGGATCACAAACTTGTGCCTGTCTTACCTCCTAAGAGAGAACACAGACATAATCTAAGACAGTCCAGGGCTTATGCCATGCCCCGTACACATACAAATCGTTTTAAGAACACTTTTATTCCAAGTACGTGTACATAATTTTTTGGACCAGTTTGTACCTAGTTATATATAGAGAGTTTTTCGCATTTTTATAGAAATGTTTTTTGTTATAATTTCAATTAGTATTTATATTTTTGGAATTTATTTAATCTTAGTTTTAAGTAATTGTAACGCAATTCAGTCTACGGACTGCCATGTTCGATATTTTAATAAACTATCTAAACTATCTAAACTAAAACTATACTTTTTGACTCTCTCTGCAGTGTTTAAAGGAAGGAGACATTGTCATTGGTAAAGTAACTTACAAAAGACCCTTTGGTATTATAGTAACACTGACTATGTTGGAATCTGGGTACAATAGAGACTTCAGTGATCTTGATATTCAGGTATATTATTAAGGTAACCAATATTACATTGCGGAAGATAGTCTGTTAGCAAGGTTGAAAAAGGACTGTGAAGATTTCAATATTGCTGGGATGTTCCAAACAATCTTGGATGCTTGCATGCTGCAGAGAACCAGTTTACTCTGAAGCGCTCTTTGGTTTGGATTTGTTTAAATTCTCATTGAATTAAATGCTACTTGCAAAGCATCTGATATGGGAACAAGCCCTTGATTTTATAAACACCAGTAAAATTTCCGGTGAGCTTTTGCATGAAATTATGAACTCACACCTGAAAATAACAAGTTATCTTCACATGTTAAAAGATCTATGTTGCCATGGTTACATTATGAATCACACCTATTGTAGCCAAAACATATTGAAAGGAAATTGTTTGGTACTTCATTGGTGTTTTCATTGTACCTAATGTACACAATTGCTGCTTGGGGATACAAAATTTCAACTCTTGAAGAGAAATTTCATATCTGCACACTGTAAAAGCCTCCATCTACATTACTCAGAAAAATGCGTTTCTAACACTCACCGTCAAGCTATTCTTAGCTGCTTGTTGTATTGCTTTACCCAGGCATTGTGCAAGTTATCAGAGTTAGACAGCTCAGAACTGACCAAGGAGTACAAAGACCCAACTGATGCTTATGTGATTGGTGATATTATTCGAGGTACTTACCATATGTGCCCCACATTTTAATAAAAATTTGGACTTTTTTTAATTTGTCTGACATCAAGTTTTTTTGGCTTACATTTTCTTTTCATGTAGGAGTAATTACAAATGTAAGTGGTGAGGAGGAAAAAGTGTCAATCTCTTTGAGAAATTCAAGATTACCTGATGTACATAAACATGTGTGTTTGGTGAGTGCATTTCAATAAAAGACTGCATGTAGGTGTTCATGAAAGCACTTTCTAGCATCCCAGTTACTTGTTTGTTCATGTTTATCCCATTGGTTCACCCTTTAACCTTCCAATCAAGGATTTTAAAAACTTTGTACGACTGCATGCAATAATTGTCATGATTTTCATTTTATTTCTTTCATTTAACCAACACTAGACAAGTATAACTGTTTTAATTTTGCTTACTTGTTGCTCTTCTTTCACCTTCTTTACAGGGTGTTGTGGATGACTCTGATGTGGTTTTCACCAGGTATACTGTATGCCATTATATTTTATTCATAAACAGTCCCCTACACTTATTAAGAAAGTAGTGCACAAAAACCTAATTTTACAGTGTAGCTGGCCTGAAAAAACCTTATCATTCACACAGTTTGCGACATGTCTTGTCCTAACAGAAATGTGGTGGTGAATTTAAAGCCTGGTAATTGCATGAAAAAGATGTTTATTCAGTCGGTGACGTGGGCAGCTTAGAAAAAATAATGTGAATACCCCTGTTAGTAGTCAAACCTATGACCTGGCTCAGATGCTCTACCACTAAGCTCCAGGAGACTCGTGTTAGCTTTTTGAGAAAAGGAATGTGTTTTGTGATGTTTTGACAAGTTGTTACATCTGAACCTTGTTGTTGTGGATTTTTCAGGAGAGATTTAAGGTAACTTTCTTTGAACTGTTTTGTATTTTGCAGGTTACAGGATAATCCAGATGGATTGAATTATGAAGAACATTTGAACAAACATAAGGGTTTTAACAACCCAAGGAATATAGATACACTTACAGATCTCCTTGGTATTGATACCACGGCTCCATGTTCTTTATTGAGATGCTTCCAAAGGTACATTCATTCAAAATAGTCCCCAATTTTTCTTACCATTACTGAAGGCGTGGACCCTGGGGTTTATAGTGGCGGGGGTAGATTTTTCTTGCCTTCGCCCAAACAATCCCTTGCTCCCTGAGTAGATTTGACACTTGTCCCCAGGCTACACTCGGTAGTTTTGAAACCAAGATGGCCGCTTGTAACGGCTAGTGCTGGATCCTGACAATCGTACCGAAAAATAGGGGACTGTGAACAGTCAAGATTGTTTTAAACAAGTCCAGTAGCAAACGTGAGAATTACCTTACTTTGCTGAGTTTACTGTCAAACTCAGAAAACCGTGAAAACCTGAAAATTTTCAGGAATGTTGATTGTGTACTGACCAATCACAATAAAGTTCAGGATACACAAGCAAACCTCAAAACCACAAACTAATTACCATTGCTGTTTGCGGTTTAGGTATCTTGCACCTTATTGGCTTATTTCTCGCAACACAATAACATTCCATAAAAATTTCTGGTGTTCACGGTTTTGTTAGTTTCACAGTAATTTATTTTGTTATACTAATTGTAGAATTCTATTCTCTGTCTCCCCATACCTATTTAAAACCCTGTCTAATGTCAAGTTGGATAGTCTTAACCTTAAAAAGCGTTTTCAGTCGTGGAATTAAGCTTATACAAGATCTGAAAAGATTGGAGCATTCAAAGTTATTGTTTTTTGTTGTTACATTTTTTTTTTGTTACATATAAATGTAGTTTGTGTGTATTTCCTTCACAGGAAGGACTGCCCAGAGGGTGACTATGCAGAGCCTCTGAGAAGGCGGCAGTCTGCCAAATGGTCAATGGAAACGTAAGAATTTCTATTGGTTGATTGATTGTATTGTCAACGCCATTTTTTAATAGCAATAAATTATATCAAGTCGTAGAATGATTTTTAATTACATGTAAGCTGCATGCAACATAAGAACATTTATCTTCATGGCAGTTACCACTAACCCAGGTTCCAAGTGCATAACCTTTATTTGGGAGAAAAGAAATGAAATCAGAAAAAAAGCTATGCTTCTGATCCTAGTTGTTAAATTTGTGGATAACGCTATCCACTGGATAAATCACCATCCATTAGCGCGTTTCGCTCGACTATCCCTGAGGAAAAATGGGGACTACTTGTAGTCTACCATCCATTGGATAACGCAATTGGTTTCCCTAGTACTTAGGGATGGGATAATGATTTATCCGGTGGATAGCCTTTGGAATAACTGAAACCTGTCAGCGTGCAAAGAAAGTACTGTCCGATAGCCCGGGGCTAGCGGATTTTGCTACCTGGCTAGTGAATTCTGTTTTTAACTTGCCCTATGGGCAAGTGATGTTTTATGAGGAATTTGAATAACAGAAGAACAAAAAGCTTTTGGGGTTAGTTGAAATGACGTCTGGGCTAGTAAATGCTAGCTTCAGCTTGCCCGAAGTAAGCTGTAAAAGTGATTTTCTTTGCACCCTGCCTGTTCTTTTCATATTCAATTATAAAACTTTATTGGTTGACTGACCAAGGTTTTCTTGAGCCGTATGGAAACCACAACACGTACTTAGTCCCCTTCCTTACTATGCGAAATGATGTTAGTCTGGTGCCAGGCAGATTAAATACTGGCACTTTTTTCTTTCACGGGGCATACTTTTTCCTTCATTCATCACTATTTGTAATGAACTTGGTACAGGTTACCTACAGACCACTGTTTATCTGTTGTTTTTAAGGACAGCCAAAGGTGTGGAGGATTTTAAAACGGGAAATCACGAGGCTGCTATGAAATATTTTGAGCATGCGCTACAGATTGATGGTCAAAATGTGGAGGCACTGGTAGCTCGAGGAGCCCTGTGAGTTGTTTAGAAGTTGAAACTTCTT